TTACTCAGCATGTTTATTTAATGTTTAGAATTTGAACAACAACAACAAAAATTCAGTGTTTAGTAAGAGGAATAAAGGCAAGACAAAGGTCATCTTTCCTTCTGGTTCTAGTCCACAGGGAAGAATCCGATTTAACACAGCGACCTGGGTTTATTTATGGATCCACTCAAAGGAAAGCACCTCCACTGAGCCAGACGGTCTCTGTCCTCAGGGATCTTACAGCTTTGTTGACAGAAATACTGTCAAAACGAAACATAGACGATGTAACTAAACTCAGGATGAGGTCCAAGAGAAAGAGCAATCTCACTGAGAAAAAGGACATGCTAGGGTCTCTCTGAGGACGTACCCTGAGTATGCACAGGTGTTAGCCAGGCAAGGCAGAGCAGAGACTGTGGAATCCTCCAGGCGGCTGAGCATGGCTTACTGAGGAGCTGAAGGGAGGCCCATGAAGCTGAAGTGCTGGAAAAAGCTCAAGAGGAAGGGAAGGTGTGGCCAAGGGCAGGCTGCAGGCTAATGGAGGCCAGGCTGCAGGTATGGACAAGGCCAGGCTGCAGGTGTGGCCAAGGCCAGGCTGCAGGCTAATGGAGGCCAGGCTGTGAGTGCCCCATTTCTCTCCAGGTGGGAGAGGAAACCCTTTTCGGGGTTTAGATAAAAAAAAAAAATGAATTGCGAGCCAGAGAGCTGGCCTCAGAGTTGAGCACTTGCTGCTCTTGCACAGGACTGATGTTTGGTTACCAGCACGCACACCGGGCAGCACACAAGCGCGCGCCTGTTAACTCCAGCTCTGGGGATCCGCTGCCCTCTCCTGGCTTCCATGGATATGGCATGCATCAGGGGCACACACATCAATATATAGCCATAAATAAAACTTAAAAAAAGTTTGCTCTGATAAAAAATTTTAAGAGATCACTGAGGACAAACTGTATTACTGATGTCAGAGAGCAGAAAGATAACAGTTCATACAAGCTGGTTTAAGCTAGTAAGGATGGGAAGAGGTGGGTAGACTGATATTTAATTTTGGAAGTTAAATTCATAGAAATTAGAGGGGCATTTGCGTGAGGAACAAGGGGTTATCAAGACTTGAGTCCTGTGACTTTATGCTAGCTCTGAAAATGGGAACAATCACACAACAAACATATTTGCGTAAGAGTGGGCAAAAGCTGGAAGTTGTTTAGCATGGCTGGAGTCTGGAATGCCTGTGAGACAACCAAATGGAGACAACCAAGTATGTCTGTGGTTCAGGACAGTGCTGAGTTGAGGCTACATGGAAGTTGCCATTATATAAAAATGGAAGGTCATGATGGGGGAAAAGGATACCCAAAAAGAGCAGAACTAGAAAAAAAAAATGCAGGAATGAATATTGTCAGCTGCCAGGTATGTGGAGAATAGGTAGTCAGCAGAGAGCGTTAGGAGAAGGGGCAGGCAGAGAGGAGGGGCAGAGGTGAGGGGGGGAGGGAGATAACAGGGGAAGGGTGGGGCAGAGGTGAGAGACCCCTTCAAGGAAGCAGTAAACAAGAGTGGTCAACAATGCCCCTTTTCTGCTCAGGCAAGGGATGAAGAGATAAGGATCTGTGGTTCCCAAGAGCAGCTGTAACAGTAGCGTTATCCCTGAAGGAAAAGGCATGGTGAAGAGTAGGTTCCACAGAGGCAGAGAAAATGGGCCAAACCTTTGGTGGGACCAGGGCAGCATCCTCTTGTAGCAGGACTGAAGGAGGTTGACACCGGAGGAAAAGGAGAGCAGGATGTGTCAGGCAGATGAGCCAGGGTACAGAAGAGCCAGTGTGGAGACAAAGATAGAGGGCAGGACTCAACTCGTTCTAGGAAGCCTGAGTATTGGAGAAACTGAGGGACCATGGCTGTCAAAAGCTCAAGGTCTGCCTGGGTTAATGTGGGAGACACTCTCTCCCACGCCCACAAAACTCCAGATGTCAGAAAAATTAGATTCCATACTGTCCATGTTTGCCAAGCTTGTGATGGAAGTAAAGATAGGACATTAACAGAGAAAAAGTATAAAACAGCAGCACCATGTCTATATAGTGCAATATTAGCCACCACAGAAGGGTGAATAACATGGTGTGTGCATTTAAGTGTGTGTGTGTGTGTGTGTGTGTGTGTGTGTGTGTGTGTGTGTATGTGCTCTGTGTAGGCCCATGCTGGGTGTCAGTCTCATTCATTCACCACATTTCTTCATCTTTTTTGCCTGTGGGAGCAATGTGGCCAGTGGCCTCAGGATCCCACTGCCATGATACCTGGATTGTGTGCCTTCGAACTGTGAGCCCAAATAAATCCTCTTGTCCTTGAGCTTTGTCATGGCGTTTTGTCACGGCCTCAAGAAGAGCAACTGGCGTGGCGATTTCCCGTTTCACAGGCAGAGCACTGAAGGCCTTTGTGGTTGGAAAGGTGGGCTTTTAATGCTGCCCAGCTGCACAGTGGCTGAGCAGCGACTGGACCCCGCAGCAAGGGTTCAGCGGTTCTCACTGCTAAACCAGACCCCTGTCTTCATCTGTCAGAGCACAAAGGCAGCTGGGGGAAAAGGCAACTAAAGAAAGGTGTGTTCAGATGCACAGAGTGTGAGGCTGACTGCACAGCATCCTGAGACTCTTAAGGATATCAGGGTTTTTGCTTGTTTGTTGGTTTGTTTTTTAGGTGACCACATAGGCCATCTGGACTAATATTTACAAAGACAACTAGTTGTTTCCTTAGGCAGAGAAATATGCAAAAAAACTTTTAAAAAGATTTCTGGGAAAGAGGTAAACTCTGATTATACCTGGAAAAAAAGTAACTGAAAAAAATGTGTCATCATGTCGGTGTCAGAGAAATGAAATGTGTGTGTATGCTTAACGTACACACAGGCTGCATGTTTTCAGGGGTGAGGTTTTATCATTAGTCTTTTTCTAAAAGTAGGGCTCTCCAAGGCTCTCTCCAAGGCTCAGGGAGCACCAAGGATAATGAAGTAAAAAGAATGTAAGAGAAGACAGGGAAGGGATGAGAAGCTCTGTCTTCGGGGCATGATCTACCCATCCCCAAGACTGTGATCTCACAGAAGCCATAGCAGCCTAAACTGGGAGGGTGAAAGAACCAGCCTGCTAACAGCCATCACAGATCAGAAAGGAGTCAGGGGCCCCCATCTTTTCCCTGCTGAACTACTGGCACCTGATGGAATCTGGGCGGGGGTGGGGGATAGTCATTGTCTTCAGCTATGTACCCAAAAGTGAGCTCACCGGTCTCTAACAGAATACACTACTGCATGCATGGAATTAACACATAGATTTAACCAGTAAAAACTGGGCAGTTAGGACTTTACGATCATAACATAGGACAACTTAATGCTGACAATTTAATTATCAAGTGCAAAAACACTGTCCAGAGTTTTGTTGATAAGTTAGGGATTACTGTCTAAAAACAATTCATGCTGACTGTTCCTTTTACAAAAACAGTAAAATATATACAAGGGCTGAAAGGAAAGAGGAAAGGGCCTGACCCATATGTTCCCCGTACAGTGTTACCAATGGCTGAAAGTAGATTTCAGAGAATGTCATAGTACAGCATTAATAGCGAGTTTCTTAAATTGTGTTTTCACTGGAAGTATTTCCTGCAAACAGTTCTAGGAACTGTTTAGCCTGTGAATGCCTTTTTCTAATATAAACTATAAACAAATATCATGCTTGAGAAGACTTAACCCATTTGGTACCTAGCTAAACCCCTCCATGGTATAAAAGAGAGATGAAACCGTTTTCTTCTGGTCACACAGATGAGAAAACCAAATCAGAGGTGACTTTCTGTTATGACTGCTGAGCTGTGGGTGTCTGACTGCCTGGGGCAGACTTCTAGAAACAAATGACTCCATCTCTACAGCTCTCAAAGCCTGAGGCCCTTTCTGCCCAGCTAACCATCCCCTCTTGGGCTACTCTGTCTGCCAGGCAGGTTCTGAGCTTCGCGGAGTCCTCTCTTATCCTTGTGCTTTAGCTCGTCTCACAAAGAGAGGAGCAAGCCTTTGCCGGCCCCGTCCGTGCCCACGTTCTGCTGAGCACCACTTGTTAGCCATGAGCCTCTGACTTGTCTCTCCTTTGCTTGCTGCCGATAAACGTTATTTGTATTTGCATGTCTAGACAGTAAACCACGTACACAACATTTCATGATACCTTTGAATCGATGTTACTATTTCAAAATCAACTGAGTGGCACGTGCATTTACCCTAACGTTCAAAGATGGCATAAGAAAGAGAACTCTCTAAACTGCCTCCTTAACCTGTCCTGTTCATCCAAATCCCACAAAATGCAATAGAGGTGATGGGGTAAATGAAAGAGATGTAGGAAAATCTGTCTCTAGTGTTTTGAAATCTGCTTTAAAATAAAAATGTTTCCCGAGATGCCGAAGCGAATGTGATGAATGTTAAGTGGGTATTTTTTCACCTTAACAGACTGATCACAAGGCTATTTATAGCCCCTGACTGATGTCTCAAGCTGGTAAATCAACAGCAAAAGAGACTATTTCAAGCACATTTATCATTGAAGACAAACAGCCAAGACGGCGCGTGATTATTTTTTATTCATCATCTCCGCTCACCTCTGAGTCCGTGCCTTCTCACTGTTAATAATCTGTATAAGACTTCTCAATATTTAATGGTACAGCCTCCCTGCCGCATGCTGATGAGAGTAAGGTCACATGCCTGATCTCAAGAAGGCAGTTATCTTTGCCAGAAGAAGAAGAACGAAAGGAGGGACCTATTTCTAGGGAAGTAAGCCTGACTCTGTTAGTTTTGTTAGAAACATAATTGTTGGGCTCTGTGTCATTTAAAAAAAAATCACAGAATGAAAGCTTTTTAATGGGGACTGAGTTCAAGACATTTCAGCAGAGTGGCCCAACTGTAAAGCAGCTCGTGAGTGGCAGCACAATGTCTGGTACCACAGACTGGACAGTGTGGTTCCAGTGCCTCTGTGACTCAGCTTACCCTCGTGTGTACCTTATCTACAAGACAGCAACACAAAAGGCAGCCTTACCTGCTCGCTGTCTTCGTCATCACTGCTCAGCTTCAGGTCATCTTCCAGCATCCTGTGGGAAGGAACAGAAAGATGCAGGTCCTTAGAGCCACCACCTGTCCATGCTGGGGCACGGCCTTTCAGTAACGTGCCCTTCGCCCCCGCTCTCCCTCCCACGTGTATTGTAAGCGCTTTTCCTTGGATGTTTTTAGGAGAGAAGAGTGTCACAGCACGAACACTGACCCTCATGACCATCACAGGGAGCGATGGGGCTCCTCTGGAGCTGGCAGTTTTAGGAAACAGAACCAAACAGGAGTTGTTCCCTGGCAAGCCTAAATTTTATACTTGTTTGTTCAATGTTTTCCAGACCTAAGAACTGGCTTGTGTCTTTAGTCCCAACTGGGGGGGGGGGGTAACTCATGGTAAAGAAAGAATTCTGCTGAGGGTCATGCAGCCATAGTCTTGAGTCACGTGACATTTCTATAGGCCCCCCTGATAGCCCAAGGGCTGGAGAAGTTATACTCTATGAGGAGCTGAGCAAAAGGCAATGAATAGCAGGGCGATTCTGAAGAGTCTACGAGGGCTCCTTCAGGCCAACAGCTGCTCCCGTGCGTCATAGCAGCAAGTCCATGAAGTCAGACCGTGGACAAAGTGATGCCACTTCACGCCCTTCCATCTTAGTGATGGAAACTGTTCTCTTCAGCTTCGCTGCAGTTGGTTTTCTACAGTGCAGCTGTTTTCAGATTTGCCCATTGCTCAGAAACACACTCCCTCAAATGTGCTCTGTGCACACAGAGCTGTTGTACCTGGGAGAAGGAAGAGTACCCTAGCAGAGAGCCCAGAGATCCAGACACTGGTCTGCAAGCTGTTGTGTTCTTGTGTTTAAAGACACAATGTCTTCCTTGAAGTCAACTTCTGAAGACTGCCACCAAATGTGCTGATGGCCGTAAAGGTCAGTTACAGGCCAGTCAGAGGCAGACACCTGGGTCATTTCAGTGGCCTGGGGAGTAAATGGGGGACTCCGCTCTCCTTGAAATGTATAAGCTTTGGGGGCAGGTGACGTAAGGCCCCTTGTTCACCCTGTGGAAGGTTATACCTGGAGATCCTGAGTCTAAGAAATAAAATTGTTGCTTCCATCTCACAGAGAAGAAAAAACAAAACAAAACAAACATTTTCTATTGGATCAAAATCATTTGGAAGAACATTGGCAACTGAACATGTGCACACCTGGGCCGCCATTTCCCATCCACAGGGCAGAGCATGGCATTCACATGGCAGAAGGGGTTCTAAGTGCTCTAGGCAAGATTTAAAGCCAAGGGAAGATGGTGTTGGTCTCATGCAAGTCCATTTTACAGAAGGGTCTGGAGTGTTCACAGATTCTGGTATCTGAGGAAGGTTCTAGAACCATGCCCCTTGGGTATCAAGGGGGTACTGATCATGAGTCAACAGGGATACTCATACAGGGAAACACAGTGGGAAACAAAGATGTCCCAACCCCGCCTGCACACCAGGCCGAGTTCTCTCCATTCAGGACTTTCTGGAATGATATAACATTGTGACTATGGTGGAGGAAATATGTTTTAGCCTCTAAAAGTTGACTTAGGTCTACAGGGGCCAGAAAACAAGCCTGTCAGCCCAGCATCCAGGGAGGCCTGCCCTTGGGAGTCAGCGGCTGGTCACTGGTTGGCAGAAGTCACTGAGGTACACTTTAATGACAACTAAGACGTTGATATAAAAACACACGGTAAAATTAGACTTTTAAAAATTGAGGCCAGAGTAGAAGTCTAACCAGCAGAGGGACCATGAAGCTGGAGTTTTCAGCCTTGTGTCATAGTAAATAAAAAAAAAAAAAAAAAGGCCATTATACCCATTTCTCAGTGATTTAAAATCTTTATGCTCTGGCTACATAATCCTAGCACAGTCAGCTACCCTGCTTCTGGGCAAATTCAGTAGTCTCACAAGAAGGACTCGGCTGTAAGCTCTGCAACTTAACATCTGACTACCTAACTTCCCACAAGAATTATTTTCTTTTAGAAGCATGAGAAGCACAGCACCGCAGCTGGTGCCTACTTTTCTGGGACCTTGTGTCTCCTGAAGCAGAAACAACAGTCTGTAACGGGTGCCCATTGCTCCCCTGCTTCGCTTCACCTCACTGAGGAGCTGCTGACCAGCACAGTAGGGGCCTCACCTCAGGGTGTAATGAAGCTGCTCTGTGGAGCAGGGTTTTTTTTTTTTTTTTTTTTTTTTTAATGGTATTTCCTTGTGTTAATTTTCATTTCAGGCTCTCCGAGATGCTTCAGTCTCATTTTCTTTCTGAAGTCCCATGTTCCTGTCGGGTAATTTTCACTAACAGGTGGCCGCCTTCGCATCTGCAGTTATTTGGAACAACTCTGCCTACAGCATCCTGGGAACTAGGAACTGAGGAAGCCAGTGAGGACCAACTTCTTCCCAGATGAAGACGGATGAGTGAGGGCAAGCCTGAGAGAAAGTGGAGACCGCAGAGTCAAGACAGGGTGGTCCAGGAGACCTGGAAATGTCCAGTCAGAATGTATTCTGTGTCACAGTTCTCTACGTTGCTTGACCCGACATGGTTCAGAGTGAGGTGGTGTTTGCTCACACGCACTCCCTTCCTTCGACCTGTCCTGGCTGCCGGTGAACTCACCATGCCCTGCTCCCGCCGTGGCCACCTCGGAGTGGACAAGTACCTGCTTCTTATGTTCATGGGCTTGTTGCTGCCTAGACACAATGGCATCTGATGGCCTCTTCCCTCCTTACCGAGTGTAGCTGCTCCTGAGGCCCATCCTCTCACAGGAACTGCTTTTCAATTCCACCCCCAAATGATCCTCACAAAAGCCAGTCTCCCTTGGGAAGGGTGCCAGTCCCCAGGAAGACACTGGCTGTGCACGCGTAGCCGTAAATCAGTCAGCTGCCTATCCCGAGTGAGTCTTCATCTACATGTCATCAGTGAGGAGAAGTTAAAGGAGATGAGGATCAAGACTTCACAGCCAGAGCTGCTGCTGAAGGGTTGGATTTTAAGGCAGCCACCAGGCTGGCTTGCATTTCAGTTTGATTTCTGTCACTGACTAGCTCTCTGAGTGCCAGGAAGTCGTTTACTCTCTTGAGATACAGTTGCCACACAGCTAAAACAACAACAACAAAACAGCTGGGTAGGATGGCCTCTGCCTCCTTTTATTGCTCTGAAGATGCTGGCTCCTTCCCCTTATCACAGGTCAGGCAGACTGCTGGAGAAAGACAGCATCTAGTTAGCAGGAGACAGAAACAGCACTCCAGGGATTCCAACCCTGAGGTTTTGGTGCCAGGAAAGAGACTCCTGGAGGAGTCCAGGAGGCCAGAGGACAAAAGTGATAGGAAAGCATCCGGACAGTAGTGACTCCTGCAGGCTGCCTTGTTCATCTCGTTGCTTGCTCTGACACGGCAGGATGTCACGGTATGAGGATGGCTGCCTCTGGTTGATGCCAACAAGCCAAGACTCTCAGCCAAACAGCCTACAAGGAACTTCAACCTGCCAGTCTCCACAGTGAGTCTGTAGGTACATCTTTCTCCAGGCAAGCCCTGGAGGCAAGCCCCGGGATGGCTCCGGTCCTGGCTGGCACTATGTTTGTGGCCCATGACAGACCCTGAACCAGAGGACCCAACTAAGTCACACTCACGTTTTTCACCCATGAAACAGTAACATTATGGGTGTCACCTTGAGCCACTAAGTTGAGGAATAATTTGTTAAGCATCAATAAATGGCTGGTCTGTTAGCAGACAGTATGTATTTAGTATGTGTCTTCTTGAGCGCTGCCGCCAGTGACCTGAGGTAAACCTTTGTAGCCATCGTTCAAGCCATCCAACAGAAGACATAACGTGAGACATTTTCTAATAGTGATATTAACAATTAGTAGGTGAGACCAACACATTTTCACCGGCCTCAGTGTATTTCTGTATCATAACATACACATTTCAAGTGCTCAGCAGATACGTGCGGCTATGAGGTAACATTTTCATTTTTTTTTCTTTTCTTTTTCTGTCAGAAGGTGAGGGCGTTCAAATTCCTGGCATGCCCTCTGTCCTTGTCTCTTTCAGATCTCTGACATGGCCTGATGGGGTGCAGGGGACAAGCCTGTGGAAGTGACAGCTTCCAAACCGTCGGAGAGAGAAGCTCCATTTCCCTTGCCTTCCCTCAGCCGCCTAGTGGCTCGTGGTGTCAGTTAAGTGTGGCACTGACCCATCTTGCTGTCAATTCAAGGAGTGGGTGTGTGATACACTGCAGTGTCCCTGTAACCTCTGACGTCATAGAAGCACCCAGAAATGGAAACTGAGCTAACCCCAAGTGGCCCGCAGGAGGTGCAGGCTGCGGGCTGCCGACTTAGGGGTCGTGTCCTAAGAGAACAGGAACGGGCGACCCTGTAACACATCTCATAAAATTCTGACCACTTGGCCAAGGGAGTCTGCACACTTGTTCCCTCTGTCTGAGCCGCTCCCTGTTCTTCTTGGGTGTAATATGGGCACACAGCGAAGCACTGAGATTATCTGAAATCCTTAGGTTTTTTTTTTTTTTTTCTTTCTTGTATATTTTCAAGTACGTCAGTTGTTCTTTTCACTTGGAGTTAGAATTCGAGCTACTGGAGCTGGCAGCCCCAAAAGGATCATTCTGAAAAGAGGATAGGAATATTGGGGGGGGGGGCTTTCCTTGAGCATCCCGTAATTCTTCTACCTAAAAGCAAAATATAACAAAAGCCCACAGATACCACGTGCTGTCCGTGAGCTTGTGAGGACATGAAGACTTTCCGCCTTTTCCACAAGGGCAATGCAGACAGAACACTGTGATGAGGTTGCATCCCCCCCAACACCTCAGACTTTAAAATTACTTCTTCCTGAGAATTCCCCGAAAAGAGGGGCTGAATGCACGCTATCACTTCACTCAAAAGACAACAGAGGCTCAGGAGCAGCACTTTAACAGGAAATGCTTTCTCTCCAAGAAGATTTCTAAATTCCTCCCTTTGTTATACAGATTTCTGGAAAATGAGTCTCTGAACTCGGTGTTGCTGGCATTAAGGACTGAGGGTC